CACTCTGATGGGGACACCTAATGTAAGGGGGGCACTCTGATGGGGATACCTGATGTAAGGGGGGCACTCTGATGGAGACACCTGATGTAAGGGGGGCACTCTGATGGGGGATGGGGACACCTGATGTCAGGGGGCACTCTGATGGGGACACCTAATGTAAGGGGGCACTCTGATGGGGGATGGGGACACCTGATGTAAGGGGGCACTCTGATGGGGGATGGGGACACCTGATGTAAGGGGGCACTCTGATGGGAACACCTAATGTAAGGGGGGCACTCTGATGGGGACACCTGATGTAAGGGGGCACTCTGATGGGGGATGGGGACACCTGATGTAAGGGGGGCACTCTGATGGGGGATGGGGACATCTGATATAAGGGGGCACTCTGATGGGCACACCTGATGTAAGGGGGGGGGGGGCACTCTGATCGGGACCTGGATGTATGATGGGCTCAGATGGGGACCCAGATGTGAAGGGGGATTCCTAAGATGGACTGAAGGGGACTGTGATATAAAGGGGGACTCTGATGGGGCCATCTGATATAAGGGGACACACACTAAGTTGTGACTCTGTGACAGACTGTTGGTGCCTCACACAGGGTTGTCATTGTGCTCCCTGACTTTTTTGTTTGCTGCACCCCGAGATCAGATCCGGTCCTGACGCTGTGGCTGCAGTGCTTTTCTTCATGGCAGGACTTCTACCCCCCAGGTGTAGTGAATGGAAATGCGGTTGCGGCGCACTAGTACAGGGTTCCAGGGGTTACAGCTTGTGGCGGGAAGGTGATACAACACCTCCTCACCACCTGACAAATACTCTCTAAAGAGCGATCTCAGTGTGGATTGATCTTCAGAGAGCAGGGGCGGACTGACCATTTGAAAACTCGAGCACTGCCCGAGGGCCCGGGGTCAGTAGGGGGCCCCATGAGATGCCCCTGGTAACTTTTTTCATAGGCTTTTTTGAGTTTGGGCAAGGACACAGGGGCCCCATGATCCCCTATTGCCCGGGGGCCCCGTGAGTTGTCAGTCCGCCCCTGTCAGAGAGCAAAACTAGTGTGAAGGAGCCCTTAAAAAGGTACCTAGTAGCGTCATAATGTGCAATTAAAAACTAAAAAGGCGTCACACAAAATGTCTCACCTCTGTAGAAGGGTGGATGTGCATTAATACGCATGCATAGGTGGTAGGGGCCCCTGTGGGTGTTCCTCACACCTACGCATTTTCCCACTTTAAATCCCTATTCACACCCCAGGGACTTGAAGGGCTTCAAAGCTCAGCGCCGAATTTCCATAATCATACCTGATCACATGGGATGCCAAATGTGTCTTGAATACACTATGCTCACACTTCGGGGGGGGGGGGGGGGGAAATAACGCGAATCAACTGCCTGATTTTACTACCCAGGAACACGGGGACTTGGGGCCCCTTCACTTCTTTGCAGTGCGATGAGGCAGCCAACGCACAAAAAAAGAAAAAAAAAAATCACATTCTTTTTGTTGATACGACGTAACGCGCTTGTGGCGCACCGCAACATGTGCGCATTGGGGTGCTACTGAGTGCGCTGCTGCCGGTTATCTGCGTTCCCTCAACATGGAGTCTGGAAAGAGCAGCGCTAAAGATGTTAAATGCCCAGAAAAATATATTTTGGACGGCGGGTGTTGGTGGTGGTGGGGAGGGGGGGGGGGCTGTACGGCGATCGAATTGCAAGTCAGCGATGCGAAGTTGGCCGGCCAGATGTTTGGACGGTCGCTGTTCCCTGGCGCATAATCTTGGGTCGGGTTCAGGTTTTGACGCGCGGTAACCTCTCCTATGGCGTAAGATGCTGTATAAATGATTTGAGTTTATACCAGGGGCGGACTGACAACTCATGGGGCCCCCGGGCCAGGGGCGGACTGACAACTCATGGGGCCCCCGGGCCAGGGGTGGACTGACAACTCATGGGGCCCCCGGGCCAGGGACAGACTGACAACTCATGGGGCCCCCGGCCAGGGGCGGACTGACAACTCATGGGGCCCCCGGGCCAGGGGCGGACTGACAACTCATGGGACCCCCCGGGCCAGGGGTGGACTGATAACTCATGGGGCCCCCGAGCCAGGGGCAGAGACTGACAACTCAAGGGGCCCCCGGGCCAGGGGCGGACTGACAACTCATGGGGCCCCCGGGCCAGGGCACACTGACAACTTATGGGGCCCCCGGGCCAGGGGCGGAGACTGACAACTCATGGGGCCCCCGGGCCAGGGGCGGACTGAAAACTCATGGGGCCCCCGGGCCAGGGGCGGACTGACAACTTATGGGGCCCCGGGCCAGGGGCAGACTGACAACTTATGGGGCCCCCGGGCCAGGGGTGACCGGCTGACAACTTATGGGGCCCCCGGGCCAGACTGACAACTTATGGGGCCCCCCCGCCAGGGGGGACTGACAACTTATGGGGCCCCCGGGCCAGGGGCGGACTGACAACTCATGGGCCCCCCGGGCCAGGGGCGGAGACTGACAACTCATGGGGCCCCCGGGCCAGGGGCGGACTGACAACTCATGGGGCCCCCGGGCCAGGGGCGGACTGACAACTCATGGGCCCCCCGGGCCAGGGGCGGAGACTGACAAATCATGGGGCCCCCGGGCCAGGGGCGGACTGACAACTCATGGGGCCCCCGGGCCAGGGGCGGACTGACAACTTATGGGGCCCCGGGCAATAGGGGATCATGGGGCCCCTGTGTCCTCACACTCAAACCACACCCAAAAAGGCCTATGAAAGGTACCAGGGGCATCTCATGGGGCCCCCTACTGACCCAGGCCCTCGGGCAATGCCTGGGTTCCCCAATGGTCAGTCCGCCTGTTGTGAGCTACTACGTGGTATCTAAATGAATAATTTAAATTTACGCTGTAAATGTAGTGATAGGAATTGGCGTAAACGATAAACGATGGAAAATCAGCGAAGAATGCGGAAAGATAACAAAATTCCAAATTTCAGGAGAATTCCTCCTCCCCCCTCCCCCCCCTTCATTATTCTGCTGCGAAAGAGAAAAACTGGCCAAAATCCACCCTGAGACAAGCCCCGCCCACAGCCCCCTACACAGCACACGAGCGGGGCGGGGCTGCGGGACAGGCCACGCCCTTTGGTTGTATAACTTCGTATCGGAGCACGTGGAGGGAGAGGAGCGATGCTTAACCCCCGAGGTGCCGGACAGGATCGATCTGTGTCATCAACAAGAGGGGAGAGCAACATTGTGTCACAGCATACATTGTATTCTACATCGGTCACTGATTATCGGGGGGCACCGCTGGTGACCCCAAACTCAGTGTAACCCCCTCCCATCCACTGTTACCCCCAACGTCCCCTCCCCCCCATCCATCCACTGTTACCCCCAACGTCCCCTCCCCCATCCATCCCACATCCACTGTTACCCCCCAACGTCCCCTCCCCCCCATCCATCCACTGTTACCCCCAACGTCCCCTCCCCCCATCCATCCACTGTTACCCCCCAACATCCCCTACCCCCATCCATCCATTGTTACCCCCAACATCTCCTCCCCCCATCCATTCACTATTACCCCCATCACCCCATCCATCGTTACCCCCAGCATCCCCTCCCCCCATCCATCCACTGTTACCCCCATAGTCTCCTCCCCCCTTCCATCCTCTATTACCCCCATTATCCCCTCCCATCCGTCATTACCCCAATCATCCCCTCCTAGCCTATACTACCCCCATCATCCCCAACCATCTTCTATTACCCCCCCACCATTTCCTCCCATCCTTCATTACCCCCATCATCCCCGCCCATCCTTCATTATCCCACCATCCTCTCTAATCTTTTATTACCCTCTCCTTTAATATCTCCCTCACCCCACATCATTTATTTCCCCCTTCATCACACCCCCATCCTTTAATACCCCCAGCACCCTCACCTATCAATCCCTTATTACCCCATCATCCCTTCCTGTCATTTATTACCCCCATCATCTCCCTCCCATCCTCTTATTACCCCCATCATCCCCCTCCCATCCTCTTATTACCCCCATCATTCCCTCCCATCCTCTTATTACCCCCATCATCCCCCTCCCATCCTCCCCCCCATCACATCCCCCTCCCTCCTCTTATTACCCCCATCATCCCCCTCCCATCCTCTTATTACCCCCATCATCCCCCTCCCATCCTCTTATTACCCCCATCATCCCCCTCCCATCCTCTTCTTACCCCCATCATCCCCCTCCCATCCTCTTATTACCCCCATCATTCCCTCCCATCTTCTTATTACCCCCATCATTCCCTCCCATCTTCTCATTACCCCCCATCATCCCCCTCCCATCCTCTTATTACCCCCATCATCCCCCTCCCATCCTCTTATTACCCCCATCATTCCCCTCCCATCCTCTTATTACCCCCATCATTCCCCTCCCATCCTCTTATTACCCCCATCATCCCCCTCCCATCCTCTTATTACCCCCATCACCCCCCTCCCATCCTCTTATTACCCCCATCATCCCCCTCCCATCCTCTTATTACCCCCATCATCCCCCTCCCATCCTCTTATTACCCCCATCATTCCCCTCCCATCCTCTTATTACCCCCATCATTCCCTCCCATCCTCTCATTACCCCCATCATCCCCCTCCCATCCTCTTATTACCCCCATCATCCCCCTCCCATCCTCTTATTACCCCCATCATTCCCTCCCATCCTCTCATTACCCCCATCATCCCCCTCCCATGCTCTCATTACCCCCATCATCCCCCTCCCATGCTCTTATTACCCCCACCATCCCCTTGTCACCTTCATATAACTGAGCTGCCTTTCTCACCCAATCTGCCCCCTGTGTCCTCAGATGCCCCCACACCCAGTTCAGGGATTCCCCCCCCCCCCCGTCCCCGTCATCAGAGTATAGATTTACCCCCCCCCCCAGAAGTTGGCACCCCAATGATATCAGCCCCAATGATATCAGCCCCACTCTCCAGAGGTGCCGGTCCCTCCCAGATGTTTTGCTGTCCCATATTTCAGTTCTGCTCCTACCTGGATCTCATGAATGCGGCTGAATCCGTCCCTCCAGAAGAACTCCACCAGGTTGAGGAAGAGGCTGGGTCCAGGCATCTCCTTCAGGCTCTTGGGTCCAGCTGCAGCCCCCTCCTGGGGTAATGTCCTCTGTCCCTCCACCACCCCAGAAGCCTGGAGCGCGGCGAGCCGGTGCACCCCCCTCCTCCAGCCCCCCATCAGCTCACTGTCCAGCACAATCCTGGCCCTGAACCCCAGAAGAGCCTTCATCACCATCATCTTCATCCTCATCATCATCCTCCTCACCAGCCTCTGTGCCTGCTGGAGCCCACACTGCCGGGGCATCAGCTTCCACCTTTATCCAGCCTGGCCTCCTCCTCCCCTGGAGGCTGGAGCAAGGGGTGGTGGTCACAGAGCTGTAATCAATGGCTTCATGTGTTTTATCAAATGAGGGGGGTCACTACAGACACCCCCCCCCCTCTTTGTACATGGCACCCCCGCCTCCTCACCTAGGGGGCATTGCCAGCTGTTAACCCCTCAGGACTTCACTGTGAGCCTAAAAGTTTCCAGCCCTGAACTTGCCTGCCCCCCCCCCCCCCCCCCAACCAAAATGAGTTCCTCCCCCCCCCCCAACCAAAATGAGTTCCTTTTGTTTTCAGCCTAATTGTCTGCATTAACCCCTTCATGGCCAGATCTGCACTGACTTTTCAGGAAAGTGCCGGAGCTCGGTCACACGGTGGAGGCAAAAACACACGAGCGGTCAAAAAATCAAACGTTTCCTAGAAGACGCAATATTGTTTGTGGGGTCCCTTCACGCCTAGGCAGCGCGCTTCTGTGCGACTTGGGAGAAAGGGGTAGGCGACATTTTTTTTTTGGTGCCATAATGCACATTTTTGGCTGCCATGAACTTCAATGAAAGACGCATGAAAATGCAGACGCAGAGGCGTGCCCCTTCTGTTCACACTGGAGTGGCTTGTGTTCATTGAATCTCATTTTCTATGGGGCTCATTCTCACCAATCACACGCTTCCGTGGTGCAGGCGCTTCTTTTTGGTGTGACAAGGCGCTATTTTGTGGACAAAAAAAAGATATGAAAATGCAGACGCAGAGGCGTGACCCTTCTGTTCACATTGGTGTGGCTTGTTGTGCTCATTGAATCTCATTATTGTCTATGGGGCTCATTCTCACCAATCACGCGCTTTCATGCAACTTGGAAAAGGCTTTTTTTTTGGTGTGACAAGGCGCTTTTTGTGGACAAAAAGATGTAAAATGCATGAAAACGCATGAAAATCCAGACGCACATGTGCAGTCATGCAATGCATTACAAGAAGAATCTCATTATTGTCTATGGGGCCCATTCTCACCAATCACGCGCTTCTGCGCAACTTGAAAAAGGAGCTTCTTTTTGGTGTGACAATGTGCTTTTTGTGGAATAAAAAAAAATGTGAAATGCATGAAAACGCATGAAATGCAGATGCAGAGGCGTGACCCTCCTGTTCACACTGGAGTGGCTTGTTGTACTCATTGAATCTCATTATTGTCTATGGGGCCCATTCTCACCAATCACACGCTTCCGTGGTGCAGGCGCTTCTTTTTGGTGTGACAAGGCGATATTTTGTGGATTAAAAAAGATGTGAAATGCATGAAAACGCATGAAAATCCAGACGCACATGTGCAGTCATGCAATGCATTACAAGAAGAATCTCGTTATTGTCTATGGGGTCCATTCTCCCCAATCCCACGCAACTTGGAAAAGGTGCTTCTTTTTGGTGTGACAAGGCGCTTTTTGTGGAATAAAAAAGATGTGAAATGCATGAAAACGCATGAAAATGCAGACGCAGGGGCGTGACCCTTCTGTTCGCATTGGTGTGGCTACTTGTGCTCATTAAATCTCATTATTGTCTATGGGGCTCATTCTCACCAATCACACGCTTCCGTGGTGCAGGCGCTTCTTTTTGGTGTGACAAGGCGCTATTTTGTGGACAAAAAGATGTGAAATGCATGAAAACGCATGAAAATCCAGACGCACATGTGCAGTCATGCAATGCATTACAAGAAGAATCTAATTATTGTCTATGGGGCCCATTCCCACCAATCACGCGCTTCCGCGCAACTTGGAAAAGGCGCTTCTTTTTGGTGTGACAAGATGCTTTTTGTGGAATTAAAAAAGATGAGAAATGCATGAAAACGCATGAAAATGCAGACGCAGAGGCGTGACCCTTCTGTTCACACTGGAGTGGCTTGTGTTCATTGAATCTGATTGAATCTCATTGTTGTCTATGGGGCTCATTCTCACCAATCACACGCTTTCGTGCAACTTGGGAGAAATGGGTAGGCGCCATTTTTTTTTTTGGTGCCATAACGCACATTTTTGGCTGCCATGAACTTCAATGAAAGACGCATGAAAATCCAGACGCAGAGGCGTGACCCTTCTGTTCACATTGGTGTGAATCTCATTATTGTCTATGGGGCTCATTCTCACCAATCACACGCTTACGTGCAACTTGGAAAAGGCGCTTCCTTTTGGTGTGATAAGGCGCTTTTTTTGTGGACCAAAAAAAGTGACATGCATGAAAACGCATGAAAATCCAGATGCGCATGTGCAGTCGTGCAATGCATGGCAAGAAGAATCCCATTTATGTCTATGGGGCTCATTCCCCCCCCCCCCCGTTTTTAAAAACCTACTACTGACATCACTACTCGGAAACCTACCGGCGCCATTTTTAAAAACCTGAAAGCATTCAAAGGCACAGATCTTATGCAGGCCATAGACGGTTCATTTATTGGATGATTTTCGTCCGAAAAAAACGAAACATCGGTCGTTCTGTTGCCGCCAATGATTGCGAAAATCGTCCGTTTTTCACAAATTTTCCAGCATGACTGATAAAAGAAATGAGGAACCGCGAAAATCGGCCGATGCCATTGCCCCACTAACGGTGCAAAAATCGGCTGATTATTCTTTCGGACGAAAAATCGTCCGATAAACGAACCGTCTATGGCCTGCATTAGTGTTTTGAATGCTTCTGAGTGCAGAGGAGGGATTTGGGGGTCTCATAGATCCCCCACCTGCCACGTGTCTTTTGCTGTCACAGGGGATGTTTACATTCCTTGTGACAATAAAAGCGATAAAAAAAAAAAAAAAAAAGATTTAAAGTGACAATTTAAAAGATGATTAAAAAGAAATATTTAAAATGCCCCGCCTTCCATGCTCGCGTGCAAACGCACGCATTGGTCCAGCACGCACACAGAGATCGTCCCACACCTGTGAGGTATCGCCGCGATCGTCGGATCATGGGCAGTAATTCCAGCACCACACCTCCTCCGTAGATCCAAAGTGATTTTAAAGCGTTGCCTACAAATAGTAAAATGCACGCCATTTGTCATGCGCAATTTTAAAGTGTGACATGTTTGGTATCAATTTACTCTGTGTAATGTCATATTTTATACTTTAAAAAATGGGTTATGGATTGTGTTTTTTTGCAATGAAATGTAAAAAATTTTTTTTTTTCCCAAAATTTGTATTTGAAAAACCGCTGCGCAAATACCCGCGCCACATAAAAATATGCAAAAAACACCAATTTATTCTCTAGGGCATCTGCTTTAAAAATAAGTAAATATATACAAAAAATTATATATATACAAAAATATGTGACAACAAATAGGCCCGGGCATTTTAGACTGAGCAGCCAAATTCTGGGAGGGGGCAGGGGGTGCAAGGGCATTGAATACAGTGCCCCTTTACAGCGGAGTCCCCTTTATATTACAGTGCCCCTTACATTACAGAGCCCCTAGAGATCTAATCACAGTGCCTCCTATATATTTAAAGAGATGGCCCAATCCAGCAAAGAGACAGCCAAGTTCAAGAAGTGACATCCCCATCCAGCAAAGGGACATCCCCATATAGCAAGGACGGGATGTCTCTTTGCTGGACAGGGATGTCTATTTGCTGGATGGGGATGTCCCGTCTTGGACTGGGCTGTCTCTTTGCTGGATTGGGATGTCTCTTTGCTGGACCCAACTGGGCAAAGAGACAGCCCAGTCCAGCAAAGAGACAGACCGAGAGCAAAGAGACATCCTCATATAGCAAAGACAGGATGTCTCTTTGCTGGACAGGGATGTCTCTTTGATGGATGGGGATGTCCCTTCTTGAACTGGGCTGTGTCTTTGCTGGATTGGGATGTCTCTTTGCTGGACCCAACTGGGCAAAGAGACAGCCCAGTCCGGCAAAGTGACAGCCTGCCCAGCAGAGATAGCCCGTCCAGCAGAGACGCCCGTCCAGCAAAAAGACAGCTCGTCCAGCAAAGAGACAGCCCGTCCAACAGAGAGACATCCCCTCCAGCAAAGAGACAGCCCATCCAGCAAACAGACAGCCCATCCAGCAAATAGACAGCCCATCCAGCAAAAAGACAGTCTGGGCCTGAATGTATATATAAATACAATGTTTGGGGGTTCTAAGACATTTTCTACCAAAAAATACTGATTTTAAAATGTAAACAGAAAGTGTCAGGAATGGCCCGGGGCTGAAGTGGTCTGGTAAGCACAATTTTAAAGTGTGACATGTTTGGTATCTATTTACTCTGCGTAACATCATCTTTTATATTTTACAAAAAAAAGTGTTATGTATTTTTTTTTGTTGTAATAAAATTCAAAAAAGTGTTTTATTTTCCCAAAAATTGCATTTAAAAAACCGCTGTGCAAATACCAAGTGACATAATAATAAGCAAAAACCACCAAGTTATTCTCTAGGGCATCTGCTTTAAAAATATTTATATATATATTAAATGTTTGGGGGTTCTAAGACATTTTCTATCCACAAATACTGATTTTAAAAAAAAGGTAAACAAAATTCAAAAAAATGTATTATTTTCCCAAAAATTGCGTATGAAAAACCGCTGTGCAAATACCGGGTGACATAATAATAAGCAAAAACCACCAATTTATTCTCTAAGGCCTCTGCTTTAAAAAATAAATTAAAAATAAATAAATATATATATAAAATGTTTGGGGGTTCGAAGACATTTTTTATAAAAAAAAACTACTGATTTAAAATGTAAACAAAAAGTGCCAGAAATGGCCTGGGGCTAAAGTGGTCTAGTATGC